GGGCTTGGTCGGGATGTGAGCCCGCGTGGGCAGGGAAATCGAAAGACGAATTCAAATTCTCTGCACGACGTCATTTTCAGCCCTTAAGATAGAGGCAGACCAAGCTCTCAAACTAAAGCCAGCAGTGTGGTGGTTGAAGAGGCGGCTGGGTTCAAAGGGGGACAAACTAAAGGAACATCAAGACCTAAAACTGTGGTTCAGTCTTGACCCCACTCCATCCCTGGCCATCCTCTTGGTCTCTCTGGGAAAGAGGGAAGTACAGCTCTTGCGAGAAGGAAACCACATGAGCTTCACCCTGAGTCTCTTTCTGTATGCAGTGCTAGGCTGGAATATATACACACACACATATACATATAAAACATACAGGTACATATACACACACATGGACGTGTGGAAACAAAAATGTAACTGATGATCAAGGAAAAATAAAATGATAGTGAGGCAGATCCACTTAGTATCCACTCAAGACCAGAAAAAGAAGTTTAGAACAACTATTAAACGTGAGACAGTAAGGAAAAATATTTTAAAAGAAAAAAAATAGATATTCTAGATCCCCCAATTAAAATACCTAAAATTAATCACTCGTTCAATGACAAGACAGTGTTCGATGGGGAAGATCTAAACCAAAACACAACAAAAGCCATAGGAAGAAGAAAGAATTTTAAGAGATGTATGGACCATGGTTGAATGCTCTAATGTTTATGCAGAACGTAGGTTAGAAAGAGAATTTGAAGAAATACTGTCAGAAATGTTCAAAATGTGATGAAAAATGTCAACCCACAAGTTCAAGAAGCTTAATAAATTCTGTGCTCAAAAAATATGAAGAGAAAGCTCATCAAGGAACATCCCAAATTGCGCAAGTTAAAGATAATGAGGGGAAAAAAATCATTAAATCAGCTAGAGTTAAAACCAGATTATCCTGATCAGGGCGGCAGGAATGCTGATAGTCAACCTCATAACAAGAGTAACAGCAAAGACAGAAGCCAGGAAAGAACAGGACGACGTCTTTAAAAGTGAAAAAAAATGTCATGCAAGAATTCTAAACCAGACATATTCCAGTGATTATATTTGTAAAGATTGTGGGTTGAGACTTTTTAATTTTTTGAAGGATATCCAAAAGGGGATTTTTCTTGTGCTTTTCATAACGTAACCCCTAGGTTTGTACTGGAGAGGAAGGTGCAGACTTCTCTGTCTTATCTAATCCTTTCTTTCAGTCGTTCCCAGGAAAGATAAATACCCGTGTGGTCTTTCAGATTAAAGGCGCTGATCTGCCTGTATTGAGAGTGACTTGGGGTTTCAGTCATTGGAAAGCTGATGCATGCATATGTGTGAATCTCTTCCTGATTTCTCTTTCAATATCATTTCCTTTCCTGCACCCAAGCTTTATAATAATACCCCCTTTCTACATAGCTGAATACGTGTTGCATTTCTGTTGTATCTTCATTTCTTTCGTATTGTCCTGTAGAGCACAGAAAGCTCCCAAAATATTGGTTTGGTTTTGTTGAACTTCAGATATATATGTTCCTGAATCCCTTGAAAGATATTTCCAAAACCAAGGAAAATACAAGGAAGAAAAATAATGGCAGGCTGTGGGGGAACATGGCAGTCACAGATGGAGGGACCTGAAGTTTTCTTTTTTGTGTTTTCCTTTGCAAAAAGACTCCTTCATATTAGAATTAAGCCAAATAACTTCAACTTCAAAGTCACGGGCCAGCAGAGCACAGAGCTGAGCGCAGGGGAGCTCGGCCTTGCAGTTCCTGAATTCTCTTGAGTCTCTCGACCCCAGGATCACCAGTTTATTACAAAGGAGATTGAAGGATATGCATCGCCAGCCAGATAAAGAGACACATGGGTGAGGGCCTGAACAAGGGAGCCTCTGTCCTTGCGGAGCGTGGTTCGCCAGCCTGGAGTCTCTCATAACCCAGTCCTTTTGGGGTTTTATGGAGGCTTCATTACGGAGGCATGATTGGCTAAAGCATCATTGGCCACTTGTTCTTGTACTTAATCTCCACCCCCATCCCCTTCCCGGAGGTCAGGGGGTGAGACTGAAGGTCCCAGCCCTCTAATCATGGGGCGGGCTCCACTGGCATCCCACCCCCATCCTGAGGGGCTTTTCAAAAGCCCCTCATAACCTGGGAGAAGACCCTTCCACTGTTCTCATCACTATGGAAACTCCAAGGGTTTTAGGAGCTCTGTCCCAGAAACAAGGACAGAGACCACATACATATTTCTCATTGTAAATCACAGTATTACAGTGTGTTGCCCCCCAGGTGGTAAGCGAGGGTGAGAAGCGAATACTCCTTAGGAGGCAGGAGAGGTCCGGAATCTAATCTCGTCCCTGCCCCTCTCTAGACCCGTTTCCCACTCCCCCCTGTTTTTTCTGCTGGAGAAATCGCTAAGAAATATACGTCCATCAAATGTCCAGTCTCAGAGTTAAACTGTATCAGAAAAAAGTCAGATTTTTAATGAAAAAGAGAATCTCAAGGGCTTAATTAAAATCCACCTGACTGTGCTATTTTAGGTCAGAATTTTGTAAACATCATCAGCCTTTGGGGTCTGAAACCGCCCTTGTGTCCTGAGGACCTCCACTTTTTGAGAAGATCAAACTTTCTGTATGCCCGTAAAGACAGTGGTCGTTAGGAGCCCAAAGAGTTGGATTACGTGGAAAGAGGACCACACATCAGCCCTGCGGAGTCCCTGACCAGCGAACTATTTGTATCAGCAAATGCAAATCCTATTCAGGATGCAATAAATGTAACTCATTAATGTGTAATCCACAAAGAAGAAAACAAATTTGATTTGAATTGGGAAAGAATTCTTTTGCCCAGCACAGCGGTCTCTAGACGTTCACAGATAAATTCATAGTTAGCAAGTTTGAATTTTCACAAATTCCCTGTGCAATTTATAAAGCATTTTTAATATAATGATGTCATCTCTTCTTCACATCTTTATTCACCAAATCCCTTGACAAGAAAAGCTGCTTTCCAGTGCGAGCTCCCTCTCTGAGTAGTGACGTGCCTTCGGACAAGGCACGAATCTCTGGGCCTCAGCTGTCACATTGGTTCCAAATTTATGTTTGAATAGATGGAAACCTTTTTACTATATTGTAGAGCAGGGATTGGCGAACTTTTTTCTGTTAAGGGCCAGATAACATAATTTAGACACTGCGGGCCATACAATGTAACACAGCCGCTGGACTTGACCACTGTAGCCTGGGAGCAGGGAGAGAGACTGAGTAAACAAGGAAGCGCGGCTGTGTTCAATAAAAAGTTTTTAATGAACACTGAAATTTGAAGTGTAATTCTCACTTCTCACCAAAAACTGCTCTTCTTTTTATTTTTTATTTTTAGCTGTTCAAATGTTTAAGAACCATTCTCACCTACGAGGGCCATACAAAAATGGGTGGGAGTCCAGAGTCGGCTTGCTGCAGAGGGGTCCATCCGGAAAGGAACTTTAAACTTAGAAGTATGTAAAAATAGAACAGAATTGCAAATGAAAAATAAAAATACTCTAAGATATTTTCATGATACCAAGTTAAAATGGTTATGTCTGGTCTAGGTTGTTTGTGGCTGACCAATTAAAACATTAATAGACAGAAATATACTGATAAGCACCGCTCAAAAAGTGTATGATATTTCATCTGGCTGCAAAATTATTCTATTTTCATCTGGAAGGCAGCTGTGGAAATAAACCTTCAAATCATCTTTCTAATTAAAAATATGTTTTTTTAATCCTATAGGGCAAGGATGAATGTTTATGAATCTTGTATCAGGAAGTAAGCATAATGATTTCCATTTCAGGCTTATTTGCTAATTCTCTTCTGATACGAAGTTTATGCAAACGATGCAACTGAAGAGGAGGTGTAAAGTTAATGAATGAATCTCTACCAGGGCAAAATATATTTTTACAATTTTTCTGCTATGAAAGGTACTTAGTTGTACTCAGAGAAGAACTTTTTAACTGTGAGGAAGAACAAACTCTAAATTGGGTGATCAGTAAAAAAAAAAGAATCTCAGATAATTCAAATATAATTTATATTTATTGAGTACTTACTCTTGGCCAGAGAATATAATAGTCTAACTAAAATTGTGTTTAATATACAAAGCACCCTTTGTGGTAGCTTCTCAAGTTTCAATTTAATAGATGAGGAATAACTCCAGAAAGTGTTGTTGACTTGTCATTCCTACCTCAATATCCCACTGCTCTCCCCATGGTGTGGAGTAAATATATACAAAGATATTTGTCCAAGGAGAGAGTTCAAGGCAAAAGGAAGTGGAGGAAGCACAATTGCAGGTGCCTCCTTTGTGCAGAGTATTAGAGGAGGCACCAGGCATTGCTGCTGAACAGTCTATTCATTTACTCCTGGAGAACCTGAGTGTCTGTGTGTACAGACTTGCTTGGACCCTCTCAGAGTAAGCACGCATTATGTCAGACTTCCAACAGCCTTGCAAACTAGGAATTATGACTCCTGCTTAACAAATTAGGAAACTACGACATGAATTCAGGAGCTCAAGGTCACAGTGCAAAGAAGGGTCGGTGCCAAGATTTGAACTTGCTTTTATTTGGCTTAAGAGGAGCTGCCCATTTCTTAACCATGCTGCCTCCACTGCCATGGAATTAACAGACTCCCCTCCCTGTGTCTCCAGCTGCCTCTCCACACGTTTACGAAGTGTTTTCACTCTGACAATAATAAGAAAGGAAGAATTCCACCAAGCCTA